GCTCAGCATGAGAGGTAGAGAAATGTTGGGAAATTCACTAACACATGTGATCCCAACTAGTCCCCTAAGAGATACTTTCTGTATACGTGATCCCAACTAGTCCCCTAGGAGATACTTTCTGTACATTTGAAGCTTACTATTGAAACAAATGTGAGTGGATACCTTAGGTAGTATTAGAATAAAACACTTGGGGACTTCTCTAAAATGATAGCAGATAAATGTCAGTGAGCGATTCCCCCACCACTGCGCTGCCCTGAACACTCACATTCACTAATTTGTGGCACCATCTGATGTCACCACATTTGAGTTTGAGCCTCTTTTCAAGTTCAGAGTGTGGAAATGTTTCTGTCTCACTTCCAGCCATTGGTGACCTGCAGAACACCCACTGCTCCATGTGGGAACTTGATAGGATTGTGATCCTCAGTACTCTAAAACCATAGATTACTCAACATGAGCCTCAAAATTAAGTGTTCCCTTGGCACTCTATTTGTAGGTGGTATAATGACAGCATTTTTGTTCTTGTTAACGAGGCCACGAAAGTAATCAGAAACACAGCAAGAACTGTGTCTTTCTTCTGAAATAATTTTTCTTTGCTTTCCTGCTATTATTTAAGTGATCACACAACGTCTCAAATGGAGAATTAATACGATTATAACGTATAGGGTAGAGTTTTGTAAATGTTCATTATATAAAATATGAATTATACGGGTAATTTGTCCTCATATTATCTGCTTTCTGGGCAGCACAGAGAGAATATTTTTGTCAGTACTGTTTAGTCTAGAGACACATTTTTTTCTCTCTTTTGATGCAATTTTGGACTTTCTTACCATTGTTTTCACTACTGTTGCTAAGTAACTGTACATTTGCTCAAGTTGAAGCTTGAGAGAATTATAATTTCTAAGATGGTGCTTCAAAAATGGATTTCATTAGGGAATAAATTTGGTGAGTGCCTTGTTTTCTTTTCCTCTATAGCTAGACTGTGTAAGGACAGTATTTTGCTGATGGATATTTATTAATGTCCCGTAACTAGTGAGAGTTTATCGTGAGTGGCCTTACGACGACTAGAGAGATTTGAAAGACAATGTTTACTTCTGTGTCCCAAGAACTGGATTGACTCTAGTTATAAGACTAATATAGTTAACTAAGTTATTTTTGGTTGAAAAAGAAAGCAGTCTGTGAAAACTTTTAGAGGCCAAGCCTTACTTCCTTCTGTACCCATCTATCCATCCTGTGTTTAGTGTATAAACAGCATCGAGGAGACCTGCTCTGTGGATTCAGCCACCTTCAGCCTCAGAATCCAGCTCTGCACAAAGATTACCAATATGGAATGGGAGGTTTCACCCAGTTTCACAATTTTTTCCCTACGTCACCCTATTCCATGCCCCCCACCCACTGCTGACCCACCGTAACCCTGATGAACATCTCTCAAAACAAGCCTTTCAGGGTGCACACTTTAGTGAATGAGAATGTAGGTGAAACAGAGTCACTGTGATGCATAAGAAGGACTCTGAACTCAGATTCAACCTTGAGATTCTTCACCCTCCAAACCCAGCCAGCCCAAGGCCAAATTATGATGATGAAAATATTTTTTTAGGCCCGCTGATTCCCATCTCTGTTCTAATGCCCTTCACCTCTCCCTCGCCACCCCAAGTCTTGTCTTGGGAATGGAAAGGACCTCAGCCAAGCTGTCGACCCTCCCCCACTTCCCAGTGGCCATCTCCATCCTCAGCCACTGATTGGCCAACCCAGTGACAGTTGGAGCTGATGTTCACAGACAGTTTAGAACTCTGCCTTCCACCAGGACAGAGCAAGGGCACATGGTCCAGGAGGCACAAGCCCCCGCTGAGGACCAGCCTGCCATGACTGGGCCTTGGGAACCCCTACCTCTCTCGGGATCATTTTCCACTCGCCACTGCAGACTGCCATGAGACGTAAGCAAGGTTGTGTGCAGCCAGCTGCCCTTCAAACCTCACAGCATTGTCGGTGCCCAGGTCATCCATGTCACAGGCAGAGACAACCATCTACACCAGCTGGGCTATAGCAGGCCCCCTTCCCAACGACCTGAGGTCCTTCAGAATGGCTGATCTGAATGAGGTGGTGGAAACTAGGAATAAATGTATTTTGTTGTTCAAATTAACAGAATACAGACCACTTCCTGGTCTTGTGGCGAACAGCATAAAGCATGCAGTAGTGCATGTCTCTGACCTTGGCCACGGGTGAGTGAGACTACTATCAATCCTACTTTAAAAAATAAAATTTCAAAGTGTCTCTTATTTGGTTTTGATGGAAAAAATTTTCACATATTGAGGTATGGGGAAGTCATTCTGTCTTTCACATGATTTAACTTGAACTTTATGCTAACTAGAGTAGCTTGTTTTGTGGCCCATCGAACATGTACAGTACATCTGCTTTAACCATTAAAGAAAAGAATGCATTCAAAAATCAGAATGGAGTAAGTGTGGTTCAGGCGTCCAAACTAGAGCCAGGTGGCCATTGTGGATGTAGTTTCAGACAAGTTCCTGCATCACTGAGAACTCGAAATTTCTGAACTGGATGAAATCAAGGACACCACCAGCCGTTCTCAAAACAATATCTGCTAGCAGCTGCCGGCTGCAACCTTGTGGTCTCAAGGTCTTCACTTGTAAGTATACAACTATTTCAGACCCCAACCAATCCTTACTTGACAAGCACCCTTACTTCTTGCCAGCTTCAGTCCTAATTCTTGACAAACAACTTATGTAGTTTTGTGAGTTTTGCCTTTATAAGCCTCCCCCATTCTGTAGTCCAGCAGAGCACAATTCAAGTGCTTCTGGAATCTGTATCTCCCAGATTATAGTCCTCAGTTTGGCTCAAATAAAACTCTTTTCTATTCCCTTTATAGATTGTTTGTTGATTATTTCAGTCAACAATTTATTATTTTTTGTCACACGGTTATTATTTGGGGTGGGGGTGGGAATAGTAGACCAAAGAAAGCACCCTCCCCCCACAGCCAAAGAAGCATTGTTAGTTTTTAGTTGTATCATGACATTTTGCCTGATCATACAACTGAAGTTTTTCTTTGATCACACTGAATCATGAATGCTTTTGAGTTTGGCAGATATGTCCCCAACTAACCCAAGTATATGGGGTCTCCATCAGTTGATGCATTTTCATCCTAGGTGATGTTCTAGGATGCCTCTGCCTAGAGGCTTCCTGATGCAGCCCGCACCTAAACGGGTTTCCCATATAGGCTGGCCCTGGCCCTCTGCTCCCCTGACATGACCCAAGATGAGATCTGACCCCTGGACACATCGCTGAGTATTGATTTACCTGAAGTGTCCCTCAATGTCGAATGTGTCTGGGTGACTTCATGGTGTCCAGGACAAGCCCAACTCGGGTCCAGGCAAATTACCTCCCAGCAAAGATCTGTCTCTCAGCACACTGTTCTGGGCACCATGTCCACCATTCTCTTTTTTATCCTATTTGCAATTTTGTCTTTCCTTATAACTGTGGTTTTTAATTCCTCTTGATGTAATAGGCATAAGTTTATGAATTTTGAATTATGGTTGACTCCAACTTAGGGATGTCTTAGAATTGGATCTTGTGGGGGAAAGGCATGTAGCAAATGAATATACATTCCATAGTAAACTGAAAGCTATTCAGCATGATTTCATGGTTTGTTCTAAAAACACACAAAAAAATCTTTTTTCTGTTAAATAAATAATTGTACTAACCATGGAACCTTAAAACAAAATCTGGAATCTGAGTTTCAGCGACAGCCTTTTTTTTTTTTTTTTTTTTTTGGCTGCGCCGAGCGGCTTGTGGGATCTTAGTTCCCTGAATAGGGATTGAACGTGCCACGGCAGTGGAAGCACTGAGTCCTAATCACTGGACTGCCAAGGAATTCTCCAGACAGATTTCTCTTTAATGACACTTTTGTACTTCCTCAGTAAAATGGAAGATGTGTGAATAATTAAGAAAAATAAAATTAGAAAAGAGGAGAGAGTTTAGAATCGAAGGTTGATTATTTGGATAGACTATTTGTTTTGTATTCCTTCCAACTGATAGAATATTTAGGACACATCAGGTTTCAGAAAGGCAAGCGGTATTTTTCTTAGACAAAATAACAGAAGAATATTATCAGGATATATAAGTGTTCTGTAAATAAATATACATGCATCTATATTCATATACATAATGTGTTATATCCTGAGGAATATTAAGAAAGTGATACGCTTGATTATTTCTCAATGTGAAGTGTGTGTTATAATGAATACAAGGTTAGAGATAAGAATATGTGATCTGACATAAAAGTTGGTAGTAAAGGAAATCTTAAGGTCTAAATACCATTACGAAGGTTTTGGCTACATATGTCAAGTTTTCTAGGTTTTAGCCTAAAGTAATATTACCCAAGGATCTGAAATTGTCTCCCAGGTCATTAGCATCCCAGCCATGGCAGCTTAACCAATTTATTCCTGGGAAAAGGTTGCTAGTGTGTCATGATTATACGCATATGAAACAGTTCTGAAAAGGACCCCAGGACTGAATAAGAAATATATTTCACGTGTACTCAGTTTCATTATATTAAAGTCTCTATTCTTGGGGATTTCACATTTTATTTGAACTTCTTAATTTGAATGTTAGAAATAAAATATAGGGAAGGATAAATTAGGAGTTTGGTATTAACATATACACATTCCTATATATAAAATGGGTAACCAACAAGGACCTACTGCATAGCACAGGGAACTATACTCAGTATTTTGCAATAACCTATAAGGGAAAACAATCTGAAAAAATATATATATAATATATATATAAAATATATATAACCTACTGTAACCCTGATGAACATCTACATTCTCATTCCCTACATTTACATATATAAAATATATATATCAAACTGAATCACTGTGCTGCACACCTGAAACTAACACAACATGGTAAATCAACTATACTTCAATTTTTTAAAGTAATAATTTTTTGAATAAAATATAATTAATATATTAAAACCTACTTACATGTCTTCCTGAAGCACCCAGACAGCAAGCGGCCTCAGATTTTAGAACAGCAGAATTCAGTGGTATGTTGATTTTTATCAAGAGGAAAGTAGCATGAAGATCTTGGAAAACCAGAATGATGTTAAAGCATTAGAAGAATAGAAGGGTAGCTTTAAATGATATAATAATTATAATTTTAATGAGTAAATAATTAACAAAAGTTAAACATGAATTATAATTTAATGTTCTAATGGTAAACATACAGTAAATTTCAATTTTCTTAACATTATATCATCTGGGCTTATAATATTGATATTGGGTTATGAAATAATTATTATTTCTCTAATCATAAAATTTATTTTATAAATATAATAAATATGTAGTATTATTAAAATATTAATAGAAACTTAATTTTGAATTTAAAATGTTTTATTAACACCAATATTACATTAGTGATGGATAAAATATTATATTTTCATATTCTTTTAGGGCAATACTTTCCAAGTTTATAATTAATACTTATATAGAATCATATATAGTATCTGTTGGCCAATAAATAAAGTGATGTTCCTTACACTGATGTCATTTTCCATTTGACTGAACAAAGAAAGTGAATGTACTCCCTCTGGTGAGAGCACCAGAATCACAACTAACTGCTGAACAATCATCGACAGGAAGACGCTGGAACTCCCCAAAAAAGATACCCCACATCCAAAGACAAAGGAGAAGCCACAATGAGACAGTAGGAGGGGCGCAATCACAATAAAATCATATCCCATAACTGCCGGGTGGGTGACTCACAGACTGGAGAACACTTATATCACAGAAGTCCACCCACTGGAGGGAAGGTTCTGAGCCCCACGTCACGCTTCCCAACCTGGGGGTCAGGCAATGGGAGGAGGAATTCCTAGAGAATCAGACTTAGAAGGCTAGCGGGATTTGATGGCAGGACTTTGACAGGACTGGGAGAAACAGAGACTCCACTCTTGGAGGGCACACACAAAGTAGTGTGCGCATTGGGACCCAGGGGAAGGAGCAGTGACCCCACAGGAGACTGAACCAGACCTCACTGCTGGTGTTGGAGGGTCTCCTGCAGAGGCGGGGAGTGGCTGTGTCTCACTGTGAGGACGGGGACACTGGTGGGAGAGGTTCTGGGAAGTACTCCTTGGTGTGAGCCATCCCAGAGTCTGCCATTGGTCCCACGAAAGAGCCTGGGCAGGCTCCACTGTTGGGTCACCTCAGGTCAAACAACCAACAGGGAGGGAACCCAGCCCCACCCATCAGCAGACAACAGGATTAAAGTTTTACTGAGCTCTGCCAACCAAAGCAACAGCCACCTCTATCCACCACCAGTCCCTCCCATCAGGAAACTTGCACAAGTCTCTTAGGTAGCCTCATCCATCAGAGGGCAGACAGCAAAAGCAAGAAGAACTACAATCCTGCAGCCTGTGGAACGAAAACCACATTCACAGAAAGACAGACAAAATGAAAAGGCAAAGGACTTTGTACCAGATGAAGGAGCAAGATGAAACCCCAGAAAAACAACTAAATGAACAACCTTCATAGTCAACCTTCCAGAAAAATAATTCAGAATAATTATAGTGAAGATGATCCAGGACCTCGGAAAAAGAATGGAGGCAAAGATCGAGAAGATGCAAGAAATGTTTAACAAACAACTACAAGAATTAAAGAACAAACAAACAGAGATGAACAGTACAATAACTGAAATGAAAAATGCACTAGAAGGAATCAACAGCAGAATAACTGAGGCATAAGAATGGATAAGTGACCTGGAAGACAGAATGGTGGAATTCACTGTGGCAGAACAGAATAAAGAAAAAAGAATGAAAAGAAATGAAGACAGCCTAAGAGACCTCTGGGACAACATTAAACACAACAACATTCACATTATAGGGGTCCACAAGGAGAAGAGAGAAAGGACCCGAGAAAATATTTGAAGAGATTATAGTCGAAAAGTTACCTAACATGGGAAAGGAAACAGCCACCCAAGTCCAGGAAGCACAGAGAGTCCCATACAGGATAAACCCAAGGAGAAATACAACAAGACACATGGTAATCAAATTGACAAAAATTAAACACAAAGGAAAAATTGAAAGCAGCAAGGGAAAAACGACAAATAACATAGAAGGGAACTCCCATAAGGTTAACAGCTGATTTCTCAGCAGAAACTCTACAAGCCAGAAGGGAGTGCCATGACATATTTAAAGTGATGAAAGGGAAGAACCTACAACCAAGATTGCTCTACGCTGCAAGGATCTCATTCACATTTGATAGAGAAATCAAGAGCTTTACAGACAAGCAAAAGCTAAGAGAATTCACCACCACCAAACCAGCTCTAAAATAAATGCTAAAGGAACTTCTCTAAGTGGGAAACACAAGGGAAGAAAAAGACCTACAAAAACAAACACAAAACAATTAAGAAAATGGTAATAGGAACATACGTATCAATAATTACCTTAAACATAAATGGATTAAATACTCCAACCAAAAAACACAGGCTCACTGAATGGATACAAAAACAAGACCCATACATATGCTGTCTAAAAGAGACCCACTTCAGACCTAGGGACACATACAGACTGAAAGTGAGGGGATGTAAAAAGATATTCAATGCAAATGCAAATCAAAAGAAAGCTGCAGGGGCTTCCCTGGTGGCACAGTGATTGAGAGTCTGCCTGCCAATGCAGGGGACACAGGTTCGTGCCCTGGTCTGGGAAGATCCCACATGCCGTGGAGCAGCTGGGCCCGTGAGCCATGGCCGCTGAGCCTGCGCGTCCGGAGCCTGTGCTCTGCAACAGGAGAGGCCACAACAGTGAGAGGCTCACGTACCAGAAAAAAAGAAAGCTGGAGTAGCAATACTCATATCAGATAAAATAAACTTTAAAATAAAGAATGTTAGAAGAGACAAGGAGGGACACTACATAATGATCAAAGGATCAATCCAAGAAGAAGATATAACAATTATAAATATATATGTACCCAACATAGGAGCACCTCAATACCTAAGGCAACTGCTAACAGCTATAAAAGAGGAAACTGACAGTAACACAATAATAGTGGGGGATTTTAACACCTCACTTACACCAATGGACAGATCATCCAAACAGAAAATTAATAAGGAAACACAAGCTTTAAATGACACAATAGACCAGATAGATTTCATTGATATGTATAGGACATTCCACCCCAAAACAGCAGATTACACTTTCTTCTCAAGTGCCCATGGAACATTCTCCAGGACTGAACACATCACGGGTCACAAATCAAGTAGCTTCAAGATGGTGAAAGAGGGCTTCCCTCGTGGTGCAGTGGTTGAGAGTCCTCCTGCCGATGCAGGGGACACAGGTTCGTGCCCCGGTCTAGGAAGGTCCCACATGCTGCGGAGTGGCTAGGCCCATGAGCCATGGGCGCTGAGCCTGCACGTCCAGAGACTGTGCTCCGCAATGGGAGAGGCCACAACAGTGAGAGGCCCGTGTACTGAAAAAAAAAAAAAAAAAAAAAAAACTATGGGATGCAGCAAAAGCAGTTCTAAGAGGGAAGTTTATAGCAATACAATCCTATCTTAAGAAACAAGAAACATCTCAAATAAACAACCTAACCTTGCACCTAAAGCAATTAGAGAAAGAAGAACAAAAAAAACCCAAACTTAGCAGAAGGAAAGAAATCATAAAGATCAGATCAGAAATAAATGAAAAAGAAATGAAGGAAACAATAGCAAAGATCAATAAAAATATTTGCAAATGAAGCAACTGACAAAGGATTAATCTCCAAAATTTACAAGCAGCTCATGCAGCTCAATATCAAAAAAAACAAACAACCCAATCCAAAAATGGGCAGAAGACCTAAACAGACATTTCTCCAAAGAAGATATACAGATTGCCAACATGAAAGAAGCTCAACATCATTAATCATTAGAGAAATGCAAATCAAAACTACAATGAGATATCATCTCACACCGGTCATAATGGCCATCATGAAAAAATGTACAAACAATAAATGCTGGAGAAGGTGTGGAGAAAAGGGAACCCTCCTGCACTGTTGGTGGGAATGTAAATTGATACAGCCACTATGGAGAATGGTATGGAGGGTCCTCAAGAAACTACAAATAGAGCTACCATATGACCCAGCAATCCCGCTATTGGGTATATACCCTGAGAAAACCATAATTCAAAAAGAGTCATATACCACAATGTTCACTGTGGCTCTATTTACAATAGCCAGGAGATGGAAGCAACCTAAGTGTCCATCGACAGATGAATGGATAAAGAAGATGTGGCACATATATACAATGGAATATTACTTAGCCATAAAAGGAAACGAAATTGAGTTATTTGTAGTGAGGTGGATGGACCTAGAGTCTGTCATACAGAGTGAAGTAAGTCAGAAAGAGAAAAACAAATACCGTATGCTAACACATATATATGGAATCTAAAAAAAAGTGGTCATGAAGAACCTAGGGGTAAGAGGGAATAAAGACACAGACCTACTAGAAAATGACTTGAGGATATGGGAAGGGGGAAGGGTAAGCTGTGACAAAGTGAGAGAGTGGCATGGACATATATACACTACCAAATGTAAAATTGATAGCTAGTAGGAAGCAGCCGCATAGCACAGGGAGATCAGCTTGGTGCGTTCTGACCACTAGAGGGGTGGGCTAGGGAGGGTGGGAGGTAGGGAGACGCAAGAGGGAAGAGATATGGGGACATTTGTATATGTATAACTGATTCATTTTGTTATACAGCAGAAACTAACACACCATTGTAAAGCAATTATACTCCAATAAAGATGTTAAAAAAAAAAAAAAAAACAACGGAGCTGGAGGAATCAGGCTCCCTGACTTCAGACTATACTACAAAGCTACAGTAATCAAGACAATATGGTACTGGCACAAAAACAGAAATATAGATCAATGGAACAGGATAGAAAGCCCAGAGATAAACCCACGCACCTGTGGCCAACTAATCTATGAAAAAGGAGGCAAGGATATACAATGGAGAAAAGAAAGTCTCTTCAATAAGTGGTGCTGGGAGAACTGGACAGCTACATGTAAAAGAATGAAATTAGAACACTCCCTAACACCATACACAAAAATAAACTCAAAATGGATTAGAGGCCTAAATGTAAGACTGGACACTATAAAACTCTTAGAGGAAAACATAGGAAGAACACTCTTAGACATAAATCACAGCAAGATCTTTTTTGACCCACCCCCTAGAGAAATGGAAATAAAAACAAAAATAAACAATGGGACCTAATGAAACTTAAAAGTTTTTGCACAGTAAGGGAAACTACAAACAAGATGAAAAGACAACCCTCCGAATGGGAGAAAATATTTGCAAACTAATCAACGGACAAAGGATTAATCTCCAAAATATATAAACAACTCATGCAGCTCGATATTAAAAAAACAAACAACCCAATCCAAAAATGGGCAGAAGACCTAAATAGACATTTCTCCAAAGAAGACATACAGATGGCCGAGAAGCACATGAAAAGCTGCTCAACATCACTAATTATTAGAGAAATGCAAATCAAAACTACAATGAGGTATCACCTCACACCAGTTAGAATGGGCATCATCAGAAAATCTACAAACAACAAATGCTGGAGAGGGTATGGAGAAAAGGGAACCCTCTTGCACTGTTGGTGGGAATGTAAATTGATACAGCCACTATGGAGAACAGTATGGAGGTTCCTTAAAAAACTAAAAATAGAATTACCATATGATCCAGCAATCCAACTACTGGGCATATACCCAGAGAAAACCATAATTCAAAAAGACACATGCACCCCAATGTTCACTGCAGCACTATTTACAATAGCCAGGACATGGAAGCAACCTAAGTGCCCATCGACAGATGAATGGATAAAGAAGATGCAGTAAATATATACAATGGAATATCACTCAGCCATAAAAAGGAACGAAATTGGGTCATTTGTAGAGACGTGGATGGATCTAGAGACTGCCATACAGAATGAAGTAAGTCAGAAAGAGAAAAACAAATATCGTATATTAACACATATATGTGGAACCTAGAAAAATGGTACAGATGAACCAGTGTGCAGGGCAGAAATTGAGACACAGATGCAGAGAACAAATGTATGGACACCTAGCGGAGAAAGTGGCGGAGGGGGGAGGGTGTGATGAATTGGGAGATTGGGATTGACATATATATACCAATATGTATAAAATGGATAACTAATAAGAACCTGCTGTTTTTTAAAAATTAAATAAAATAAAATTCAAAGAAAGAAAAGAAAGTGAATAACTTCGAAATGAATGGATGTTTTTGAGATATTTGTTGTTTTGTTTTGTTTTTTGTTTTTGCGGGACGCGGGCCTCTCACTGCTGTGGCCTCTCCCACCGCGGAGCACAGGCCCCGGACGCGCAGGCCTAGCAGCCATGGCCCACGGGCCCAGCCACTCCGCGGCATGCAGGATCCTCCCGGACCGGGGCACAAACCCGCGTCCCCTGTGCCGGCAGGCGGACTCCCTACCACTGCGCCACCAGGGAAGCCCTGGTCTTCACTTTTTAATAAACAAATAGATTAGAATCTGGGTAACTAAATCCAGAAAGGTCATTGTTTTACTTTCTTCCTAAAGTACAAATAAACATCTTCTCCAGGATTAAGGAAACACTTGGACAGATTCACTCTTTTCTCCCACACGTAGGCAACATCCCAAGTCTCTATCCCCTAAATCCAAGAGATTCCTTCATTTTCTGCACATCAGATGACCACATGAGCAAACAGCTTCCCATGATTTTCATCATGGTGGGTCCTGTCCTATGTACGGTACCTCCTTAGGCTTCACACCTGACACAAGGACAAGTCCCTTGGAATTCTTCATTTAGAAAATGGATTTCATGCCCTTCTAAATTTCACAAAAATTTACTGAAGTTGAAAAAAACAGGGTTGGGGGAGGCTATTAAACAAAATTATAACAAATGGGTTTCTGGAAATGTTCAGATAATTGTTTTTTTTTAAAAAAAGACAACTCTGGTCATAGAACTTAAAGATACAAAAAGCAAATTTGTATATCCATCACCTTAGTCTCAATTATGTCATTGTAATACGTGACCTTAAACACTAATGACCCACCTATTTCTCACTCATCCTTCTGGGATTCAGGTTAATGGTATCATTATCTAGGACCAAGAAGGCGCATGGTAGTGAGAAGAGAACGATGGCCCCAAAGATGGAGGATTCTGCTCAGAGATGGCACAGGCTGCCTCATTAAATCCATTCATATTTCACTGGCTGAAAGAAATCACAAGGCAAAGACTGAAATCAACAATTTGGAAAGTATAAGCCTTTTGGAAGACATGGCCTGATTGGGCTGGTGCCATGAAATATTCAGTCCCTATAAAATATATTGCACGGGGGCTTCCCTGGTGGCGCAGTGGTTAAGAATCCGCCTGCCAATGCAGGGGACATGGGTTCAAGCCCTGGTCCGGGAAGATCCCACATGCCACGGGGCAACTAAGCCCGTGAGCCACAACTACTGAGCTGGCGTGCCTGGAGCCCGTGCTCCACAACAAGAGAAGCCACCGCAGTGAGAAGCCCCTGCTCCCGCAACTATAGAAAGCCCGTGGGCAGCAACGAGGATCCAACGCAGCCAAAATAAATAAATAAAATGTATTTAAATAAATAAAATATATTGCACGGGACTTTCCTGGTGGCACACTGGTTAAGAATCCACCTGCCAATGCAGGGGACACGGGTTCGATCCCTGGTCCAGGAAGATTCCACATGCCGCGGAGCAACTAAGCCCATGAGCCACAAATACTGAGCCTGCACTCTAGAGCCTGTGAGCCACAGCTACTGAGCCCACATGCTGCAATTACTGAAGCCCATGTGCCTAGAGCCCGTGCTCTGCAGCAAGAGAAGCCACAGTAATAAGAAGCCCACGCACCGCAACAAAGTGTAGCCCCCGCTCACCACAACTAGAGAAGGCCCGCACGGAGCAACGAAGACCCAACACAGCCAAAAATCAATCAATCAATAAATAAAATTTTTAAAAAAAGAAATGACTTTTTAAATTTTTTTTTATTTATTTATATTGCAGTCCATCTATTTGGTCAAAATTATTGGCTTCTATCCCTAAAGTACACAGAATAATCTTACCCTTCTCCACCAGGCACAGTATGAAAGATTTTTCCAAACGCAGTTAGGACTCAAAGCCCAACACCTCCATTCACACTCAAAGCAGCTGAAAGATCCAGATATAACTCTTCCTCATCAAAATATCAAAGAACAAAAGCCCATGCTATGAGCTAGTTGGAACATGGACTGGATCAACGTAATATCTTGCCATGATATGGAAGAAGAGGAGGGACACTGCACCCATTGAAACGTAGCAACAGCAAGATTCAGATGGGGGGATGTTTTGAGGAAGAGCTCCCTTTAGCTGAGAATGCTTTTCCCCCTAGTTAGGTCAATGTCTGATCCTAGATGAAGTCCTTACACCAGATACTTGGATGTCTTCTATGTTGCTTGGCCTCATTTGTAGGGCTATAGAGGCTATACCTCTTTGAGGGTTTTACCATCTGGATATAATATGAGGGGGTGCAGTTCACAAAATATTGTTTTTATCCAAGCTAAGTTTCTTTTAGTTAAAGCATGTGAATTTTCTGGTAATCCCACACATATATGTCAACAAAGAAAAACACACACAATTAAAGATGAATTAATCTATCTAATTATATCTATTTCCAGGTGCAATTAGCCCATCCCCCAATTCATTGTGCCTAATATTTCTGTTTCTCATCTTAAATATCTTGAGTTTATCAGTGTCTGTGGCAAAAGCACATACCATTTTTTTTCTGGTGGCAGTTTATAGTAATGCTGTCTTAAATAATAGAAGAATGATTGGTAGAAGTTATAATGCAATCACTGCTTTAAACCAAAGGTTTTAAGCCACAACCCAGGTTTTATTTTTGCTTTTTTTTAACTGTGTAAACTTTTTGTTAGAAAATATGTCTCCAAGTTCGTATTTCCTCATATAAATGATACAAAGTCTGCCTGTACACGTTATCTTGCAGTTCATACAATCTTTCTATCCCCTTCCATTTTTCCTGTTAAGGAACACATTTCTTTCTGAGCTCATTTCTCTCTAGCTGTTCCCAAGGCAATAGTAGCCAAGAGCACATGAGTCTTGACAGAGATATTCTGTTGTCCTTAAGTCAAGGCATAGAATATTTGTCGCATTTCCTGCCTTCCAGTTTTTCACAGCTGACGTTTACCAGAAAAAATTTACAGCAGCAAAATTTACAGTTGCCATCTTTTCAGGATTCAATAAATTTTTCCATCACCCATGGTCTAGCCCCATGACAAATCCACATATATATTTTTTTCTTGTTAAAGTCATCACTTCAAAGTAAATAATTTAATAATTGTATCAGATGATTGTATTCAACCAGAGAAGCAGAATCAGTGTGTATGTGGAGATTTATTGCAAGGAACTGGCTTACCTGACTGCAGAGAAGCCTTGGCAAGTCTAAAATCCGTAAGGCAGATTAGAACTCTTGGGCAAGAGCTGATGCATCTATCAATAGGCAGAATTTCTTCCTCTCAGTGAAGCCTTCACTCAGTCCTTCTGGCCTCTCAGATGATTGACTTAGGCCCACCCAGATTATATAGGATAATCTCCCTTAGTCAAGTGATTATGAACTTTAATCACATCTACAAAATACCTTCACAGAAACTCCAAGTAGGTGAGTGTTTGAATTACTAGGGTCTGTAGCCTAGCCATACTGACACAAAACTGACCAGCTCTGTCCATACCTTGTCAACCTGGAAACCATACACATCTCCTGAAACCATAAATAATTTCCAAATAAAGATAATAACAAAGTGGTATTTCTGCCTAATATGGTGCAACTATCATGCCTACAAGAGAAACATGCTAATCCTTTCCCCAAAGAGGATGCAACATCCTTGGCTGATGTGAATACTTCTCTTTTGATGCCCCTTAAATACGGTGATTTAATGTTAACTATTATTAATACATCTTATATTGGATCATCAGGGAATAAGAGCAGGAAGAAAGCAAAATATTTTGTTAATATTTATACAAACATATTCATAATGCAATCCTCATAATTAGTATAACCTCATTTATGCAAATGGTCACATGGTAATAGCTGGTATTTGTAACTTTTCTTCTGTTAGGGAACCGTTGACCAAAACTGCCCGCCTTGGCCAGGTATGATAACCGCTTACCTGAGTTGTCTCACAATAGGAGGTCCTGATAAAGAATGAAGTGCAACTAACCAGAATTCAGGAGGGGCCAAAAGGAGGAGGGAGGAGACGATGTGTCCTGCCAACCTCCCAGAAGCCCTCACGCTGAAATCCATCTTGACTGAGAGATGGGTGCACCACCAGGAAGGACCCTGAGTCAGACGAAACATGGGCCAATCAAGATGACCGGCCAGAGACAACCTGGAAACTAACCCCATTACCATAAAACCTGAGACAATGAGCCCCACAGGGTCCTGCTCAGTTTCAGTACCAACATCTGTATCATTTAGTGTTCAATCAGAGAAACAGAATCAGTAGCATTCTGAACTCAAGTCACACAGGGAACTTGTGAAATTATATACATACTTGTGTGTGTACATACATACATACACATACACAAATAAAGACATTTATTAAATGGAAATGGCTTATACAATTGTGGGGACTGGCTAGGCAAGAATGAGATTTCTAGGGTAGGCCCTTTGGAAGGGCAGGCTGAAAGTCTCTGGCAGGAGATGAAGCTGCTGTCCATAGGCGTGATTTCTTTTCCTTTAGGAATACACCCAGATTTGCTCTTAAGACTTTTCGCTGATTGCATCAGCCCCACCCAGATTATCGAGGATAATCTCCTTTACTTAAATCCAACTGATTATATAATTCAATTTATAGAATACCTTCACAGCAACACCTAGATCAGTGTTTTTTTTAATAACTGTGGAATATAGAATAGCCAAGGTAACACATAAACCATACTAACAATAATGGAAAGAAATTTGTTTCAGTAAGGGCTAAGGAAAACAGGGAGCCTAAAAGTGAATAGGAATATCGATCTAATATTAAAATAATATCATCAAGCCAAAATAATTAAGAAACAGGAGTACTAAAAATTATAGAGAACAAAGCATATATTATAATATATATTGATACATACATATGTACTATGTAAAGTAGAAAGCACAGATTCTAAGTCATATTTGGGGAGATATTATAATAGATGCAAAATTAGAATCTGTATTTCCTCTTAACCTGATTACTTCAACTCTCTTCTGAAAAGTGTTAAATATTTAAATTAAATATTTATTAAATTAAATATTTAATGAAGGGATTAAATAGGAGGGTATTTAAGAAATGGGTGGGTCGCTCTGGGTGTTTTATAAATCCTGTGTCTTGCTTAGTTGTCCACTCATCTCTGCAGAATCTGGATACCTCTTCCCAAGATGGATTTGAACAGCACTGCAAGTGGTAAATTCCCATCTGTGTTTTGCTCTCTTCTTTGATAATGCCACATGCTTTGTTTATTTTCCAGAGTTTATAAAAAGTAAAATCCCAATTATGATTAGAGGAATAGGTTGTTGAAACAGGGGCTGTTTTGCAGTGATAAGTTGTATCAGGGGATTGATGGGTGCTTTGAAGTGAGAGAATGCAATTTCAAATTTAAGAGACAGCCGTGAGTCCCATATGTGGGTTTTCAAAAGTCTTAAAGTTAACACTTTAAATGGAGAAAAATATATATGGAATACATAATATTTTATGTTTAGTTTATATCTAATAATTTAACATTTTATATTTATTTAAATGTATTTTATCATAAAGTATCAGTTTTGTGTATTGTATTTAATTTATCCTTTTAATGTTTTTCTTGTTTTTGTTTTAATGTTTTACTTGTTTCATTTATTTCCATTTATTTTCCTAACTCCTATTTTCTTTGCATGTAATTTTGTGGATTTCTAGTAACTTCTTCCTTTGGTAACTCAGAGATGACAGACTGTCATTTTTTCTATTATATATATATTTGACCTGTATGTCTCCAATTTTTTCTTTTGGCCACGCCGGGCTGCTTGTGGGATCTTAGTTTCCCAACCAAGGATTGAACCCAGGCCCTTGGCAGTGAGAGCATGGAGCCCAAACCACTGGACCACCAGGGAATTCCCATGTCTCCAATTTAGAATGACTTTAGGTATATCCCTAAAGTAAAAATACAGAATAATCATTGGATTTACAGACTTTCAACCTGAAGTAAGATACATGCTCACCCAGTTTTTAATCCATAAACATATCCTTCATAATTCTCCCCATTTTCTCTTCATCAGACATACTATTACAAAAAGAAACCTGGCAAGGCAAGATTATTTACAACCAGAGTCAAAAGAATATCCTCCAAGCATGGTTTGAACATGACGCTTACCCTGAAAAAGCTAACAGGAAACAACTGGCCAAGGAAATTGGCATTCCAGAATCTAAAATTCAGGTTAGTATCAGGTTTCTATTTCATTATCTGTCAGGTTCAAGGTAAAGAGAAAGGCCAAGCTTAGCACTGGCAGGTGATTCTCTTATGTTGGGTATGTTTCCTAAAGGTTTTTCCTGTTAAATAATATTTAAAACAAAATAAAAACAAGAATTACCTCTTTTACCAATGGTAGAAAACTGTTACTTCTTTTACCAATTGGTTGGGGGCATTCACTCTTGGAGAAAAGAATATACTGGTTGAGGCTCTCCAATAGGAGATAGTTAAATCAACTTCTGAGATTTAGAGATTATAGGAAATTGGATCACTATGATAATGCTATGGTATCAAGTACTGGAATATATACTGCAGAATAATGATTAATATATAATTATGAGGAAACTGTGGGGTAAGCACTCATGTAAATTCTCAAGCTAGTTTTTTTTTTTACTAATATCTGAAATGTGATTCATACACAGGAGTGTATGAAATAAAATCCCATATTGTATCATTTTGAATAGAACTACTGATGTAAAAATAAAAATAAACTGGATTTCTTCGTCAGCAAAAAGATAGCTGTAAATAATACAATTATACCAACTGAAACAGTATTGAAATCAATAAAGGTCAATAAAAAAGGTGCTTTCAGAGGAGAATAATGAGTTCAGATTTTTGTTATCAAAAATAGTCTCCAGGGGCTTCCCTGGTGGCGCAGTGGTTGAGAGTCCGCCTGCCGATGCAGGGGACACAGGTTCGTACCCCGGTCCGGGAGGATCCCACATGCCGTGGAAAGGCTGGGCTCGTGTGCCATGGCCGCTGAGTCTGTGCATCCGGAGCCTGTGCTCCACAACGGGAGAGGCCACAACGGTGAGAGGCCCGCGTACCGCAAAAAAAAAAAAAAAAAGTCTCCAATAAGTCACTATATATAAGGGCATCAGTCTGAGGGGACGCTGGGGAGAAGAAAAGTTCCCCTTTTCTTAATGCATTTGTTTTAGGTGTAGGAAACAGTTTTCCCAAATCCCAGAATAAAGTGCACTTTGGGGGACTATCTAGTGATTAGCTGCATGAGAGGTACTAGGCCCATTTGAACTGAGGTGGAGGATGGCAAGTCCAGGAAACAATGTAGGATGAGGTTGCTTCTGCAACTGTGTTCAGTAACATACTCATTAGTTTCCAGTTTCCACTTGGGCTTAAGACTTCTTATTGGAAAATATTTTTATTAATTAATTTAAAGAATAGATATAACCTTTTAGCACAATGCCTGGGATATGAGTACTACATCAGATATTGGTTATAACTGACACCCTAATCTTACCATGAATTATCAAATTATCAAAATAAAACACTCAGAAATACTTAGAAAGCACCTTGCAATGTCAACTCCAGTAATGAGGAAACAAGCAGAATACAATTGGCTATGTTAGTGATAATAGTTTTAAAGCAAGATATATGGGGTCCCTAGGAGTTTCATTATCTATTGCTGACTATGGGATGAAATAAGTAAAAGTGTAGGTGAGTTAGCCCTGCTCTTGACTATGGCTAATTCTACTGCCCTACATAAAGAAATTCTTTTCTAAGATCAATCCCATATGTATTGTGTATTATGAAATGGTATTCTAATGAAAAGTTGATACAACACAAGGGGGAGAGAGAGAGAGAGAGAGAGAAAGAGAGAGAGAGAGAGAGAGAGAGAGAGAGAGAGAGAGATTGATTGACTTCCTTCGAGAGAACTACACTGTTTTTCTTAAATCAGGGAAATTTATTTTGGATACCCTGAGGATGACCATACAAGAAATGCTAACTTGAGTTGAGAGCAGATTGTATACCATCCTGAATTGTATGCTAATAATAGCATCAATCCCAGGATAATACATCGTCTTTCTCTTAGGGATATTATCCCAAGAGCAGTTGATCAATTCGTTTTGTTTAACTGCATTGATATTTGGAATGACACAGACTGAGTTACATGACTTTCAGGTCGTCTTTTCCCACTCAGATTTGGTTTAAAAACCACAGAGCAAGACAGAGCCGATTGGAGTTCAGCTCCTCCTAGGGGAAGACCAAACCCATGGACAGAACCAGCCTCAGCCTTATACTCAAGGTAAGAACCCACCAGTCCAAATGCAGTTCATTAGTGGGTCCCATTGAGAGGGGAATCAATTCTGCATGTTGTGCCCAAATTCTCCACAAAGAATCCTTAGTTTTGGAGCCAGTTACAGCCTGTTCTGAGTAACCTAAGGTCATCAATATAAGCATGGTCCCACAGTGGCTGGGACAGACGGGTTCTGAGCAAGAAAGGCTTTGGACTTTTTGGTCCTGCTGCTCTGAGCAGGGCAACATCCTCCTCTTCTGTCATCTCAGGGGGATTCAGAGGGAGTAAGAGGTCAGCACTATCTTCCCAAGTTTGAGTTTCCAGCTTGAATGCAAAAATGTCCTAAAAACCCTATTGTCCCTGCGTTCTCTTTTAGAATACTTACCAAAAGGAGCCACACAAGACCACACATCGGTTCCAAGATCTCAATCAAACATTCTAGTTCAAGCCTTCAAGAGGAACCAATTCTTTGATATTGCAAACAGGAAAACACTAGCCAAACAGGCATTCCAGAATCGAGAATTCAAGTAAGTTTTATGTCTATGGCAGCAAATATCCCTAACCCATTAAACGATGTTACCCCGAGTGGTTGCTGGAAAACCTTGACTAACCTAGATTACCACAGCAATCAAGGACAAAGGCCTGGGATAGTAAACACCTGGCATTGCAAGTCACATTCCTGCAAAAGGAAGAATTTTCTAATCAAATTGTCAGTGGTGCATCTATTCAGAATCACCAGCAGCAAAACTGTGGGAAAATGTGAAAATTAATGTCTATTTTGAGAACACTCTCGTTAGGTTTTCTAAAGCTTGGCACTGCTGTCATTTTGGGCCAGACAATTCTTTCTTGGGAGGGGCAGTCCATGCCAGGTATAGTGTTTTTCAGCATTCCTGGCCTCTGCCAACTAGATATCCTGCCCATCTCTCCTTCCCCCACTTTTAACACCCCCAAAAAATCTACAGGCATAGTCAAATAGGGGAACAAAAGCACCCTCATTAGTACCTTCTTCTACCTAAGCTATGGGGATAGTGGTTCCGTATACATTCAACGCTCATGACTAGGAAGCATGTTCATAGGTCTATCAGCACAATGACCCTCATAAACACTTATCTGTGTTTATTAATCCTTATTCAGATTTATACACGTTTACAAGGTATGTATTCCTGTGCAAACACTGATTAATAGGAGGAAAATGTCAACCTCGTCAAGAGACCTTGTTCCCTGATCCATCGTTGAAATTGAAGGGTGGATCCTAAAGCATATGCCTTTTTAGCCAGAGTTTCATCTATAGTTGATTGCTGAATGTGCTATGACCTAAATCTATGTGTTTGTATGTATGTATATGTATACATATACATATATAAACACACATACTTATGCATATGCACATATATACGTGTCCACACACATATGTATATATATACACATACTGAACACATGAACAAGGGCAATTAATTTCATATATATATATATATATGTATAGACACACACACACACACACCTCTTGAGATTTGGGCCTATATAATAGGCCCTTTGCTTTACACAGTTTGAGAACAGCCAGAATCACTTGTCTTATGATATCCATGTCTCTGTTTTTCTCACGGAGATGTGGTTTCAGGACCCAAGATCTCTGTACCCTGGGCAGAGCACAAGTGAGCCTGTGAATTCCTTGGTATATGGCCCAAATGGGAGACCTGGTATGACAGCTCAGCAGCACGAAATTGACCTATGTACTCTCCCAGGCAGATCTCATCATTTTGCTTCCTCCAGTTCTTTCAGCAGGAACCAACCATTTCTACCTGTTCTTCTCCCATCCCACGTATCCTCTGTCCCTTGTGAGATCCAAGGACAAAGTGTCATGATGCAGCCCATGCAGGCTGTGCAGAGAGGAGAGAACTCTCCCTCTACTCTAACACTTGGGAATTATGTGCCAGCACTGCTGACTATGAGAGGAGACCCAAATACTCAGTACCCCTTCTGGCCCCAATACCAAGAACGCCAGGATCACCAAGAACAGACTGACATGGGAGTACTGCAGCTGGAAGACTATTCTCAGCCTCAAGCTGAGCACAAAAAACCACCACCACAGGATCTGAGCCAGGTAGACATATCTTACTTTCTGCAGTGGTGGGATGAGTGCTGCCAGGCTCTGATTGCAGAGCGGGATCCTCAAAAAGGGACCTACTGAGACAGACTGGTGGCCACACCACACAGAGTCAGCTGGAGAACCACCTCATGCCCTCAGCCAACCGCACCAGCAATATACAGAAACCTCAAGAAGCCTTTAGGTCAACTCCTGCCATCCACAGATTGTCAGTAAAAGGTACAAACTTTTTTGAATCCTGATCCACAGGAAGAGGACCCTCCAGGATTTTCAGGTTCTTCTGAACTTTGCAAAGCTCACCAGGGCTTGAGCTTCAGCAGGAAGATAGCATTCTGAACCTGACCAGTCCTCCTTTCTTTGGATGCAGATCACAGCAATTTAAAGAACAATAAATAAGGAGGTCATCCTGTCAGAGGCAAAACTAAAGCAGGGGGAAGGAAAAACCACTTGGAAACCCACATGGAGGTTGTTTTTCTTGTGGGCAGTGGTTATCTTCTATACTCCACTAAGTGAAGGATTGTTTCCAAGCTCCACACTGCCTATGGAAGCACCATGGGCACTAGGTGGTGGACATGTCTGCTGAATTCTTCCAGAAAAAAAGTATTTTACTCAAGAATATGACCTTCTCTCTGTAATCACCATGTCCTCCACGGTCTGGAAAACCCACAAACTGTAACCTAACTCAGGTGAGAATAGATCTCTGAGGGACATATTAGAACTTCTTTCCCTCCTGGCATCATGAGAGGGCAAACTTGAAATTAGTTGATTGTGTAGAAAACGAAGGGATGCTGTACTTCTTGATGATGTGAGCTCATAAAAGTGAGCTTTTCCCCAAAGCTCCGAGGGTTTAAACTGGGAACTAGATACTACCTCAGCATCCATCATTACGGGAATGATTAAATGGATTTGGACAAATCCATAATACTGAGTAATCTTCACTTAGAAGTGTATTTTTACTTTGACTATTTAAAACATACAAAAAATTACAAGGAAATTATAATAGCAATACCATATCATCACTGAACATAGTCTAATGATGCTAATATTTCCACTTTTTTAGTTTTTTGTATATATTTGCATATATGTATATATATATATGTCCATAATATTTCTTCTCTTATTATAAATACATTATACGTTCATCTAAAACCTGGGATAACCATTCTCATTCTCAGTCTTCCCCCCTCTTTTGAAAAGGTAAATTCTGAAAACAGATTTTGGTACATGTGGGTTTACCTTGGCAATAAAAATGTCTTTAAAAAATATCACTTCTGGGCTTCCCTGGTGGCACAGTGGTTGAGAGTCCACCTGCCGATGCAGGGGACACGAGTTCGTGCCCCAGTCTGGGAAGATCCCACATGCCGCGGAGCAGCTGGGCCCGTGAGCCATGGCCACTGAGCCTGCGCATCCAAGAGCCTGTGCTCCGCAACGGGAGAGGCCACAACAGTGAGAGGCCCGCGTACCGCAAAAAAAAAAAGAAAAAAAAAATCACTTCTTTGTTCATTTTATTAATTTGCTTTCTGTTTTGTCATATTTGCTTTGTTTACTTTCCATATGAAGGTGTTGAAAGAAGATCAGTACGCATACCATCTAGTTCTACAAAGATACCAGTTTTGCACAAATATAGTCGTGAGGTGGACATCCTTCTGGTATCTGGGTGTGTTACATGCAAGAGTTCTCTAGATGTTTATACACTGAAGCACAAGTGCCAGAATATTCCAACATCAGTATTTATGGCCAAATAACACTCAGCACAAGTTATTTTTCCTAATATGAGCTGTATCTTCATTAACCACTTAGGGAAATAAAAGTCACATGCGTATGTGCAGGTATTAGTGGCACAAATCTACAAAAAGAATCTGATATATTTAACAGTGTTGATACCATGCCTAGTTTGATTTTTAAATTTCTCCCCCACATGATTCTCATGTGGTCAGAGATGAGAGGTCCTAGTATCTTTCCTGTACTTCAAACACATACGTGGACAGAGTTCTCCAACTTATAAAAACAAGTCTGATTATTTGTGAAGGGAAAACTATACATTTGTGTCTATAATCTACTTCTTCATTTATATGCATATCTGTATCTCCATGTTTATATGTATGGATCTATGTAAATATATTATCTATTGTTCATCTACATTGTCTCTACAGCTCCCCTCCATACTCTTTATGCCTATCTCTACATCTACACATCTAACTATAGCCTCTGGAGGGAGACAGATGGGATGACCTTCTCTAGAGAAATAGGTAAATTTTCACTTCTGAAGCAAGCAGTGGGATTAAGTCTCTAGAGAAAAAGGTAAGGAACAGTATCTGACCAAGAGAACCACGTTGACCAGTTCAGAATCTCCTGCAAGTCAAATGTCCCTTTCATGGATTGGGTGACCAGACATCCTATTCTTATAACAGATTGAGGTGACCATGAATGTGCACTGGGCTCACAGCCAGTGGAGGCCTTAAAGGCTGTCATGGTTGAGGCCTCTACAGCCTGAAAGCAGGGCTGAGAACATGGATCCTGCAGGGTGGCAAGTCCAGTGGACCTTGCTTGGTGCCCACGGCTGGAGCATCTGATTGCCCCATCCCAGCTCTGCCTCCAATAAAAGGCACCTGCCCTCTTCCTAGAGGCCCCTTGGGTCCCAACAACCTGGTCCCTTAGTTCTTGGACCCCTTGGGGCTGAAAACCTTTGGACGGGAGGGTCCGTGGATGAGGTCACGCATCTCGCAGGCCAGTCCTGGTCCAGGTTGTGTCCACTGTTTGGGTGATGGCCAAAGTGCAGACTTCACCTCTGGAGCAGAAATCACTGTATATCCTCTGGAGGGGGCATTGGGGATTTAGTCACTAGCTGTGCTGCCTGCTCCTGGGTAGAATATTCTTGCCCCTGAAGAAGGTGACTCGTCCGTACAATGGAAGTTCTTAGCAGACCCTAAACTCCCTGACTTTTATTTGGGTATACACCCTCCCCTTTCAGGCCACATTCCCAGGGAAGGATACACAATCCGCAGCCCAAGGAGTATAGTTCTTAATCACTCTCAGTCAATTTCATTTACCCTGCAGAGAGGTGGAGTTAGGAAGGGGCACGTGTCACAATTCTGGCCAGTGAGATGTCTATGAGGGGCTTCTGAGAAAGGCTGCCCACCAATAAAGGAGACACTTAGGAGGAAACCCTCCCTCTTCAGCTGTTGGAGCTGTAGCTGCCACCTTTCAACCACAAGGGGAGAAGCTGACAGAACACGTTAAGGATGGCAGAGCAGAAAACTAGAACCTTAAAGCCACCCAACCTCAGGGCTTCTTGTTATATATACAAAATATAAATCCCCTTATTTATTAAAGTCCTTTAGAGTTAGGTTTTCTGTTACGTTCAATGAAATACACCTTATTGCTATAGCCAGGTAGGCATATGATTCAGCCAAAAGCATTAGTCCAAAAGCAAGAGGATCAGAACAATTCAAACAGCAGCTTCAATTTTTAAAACTCAACTGCACCCACTTAAACGGAATAGGGAACAGAGGAAAATAATGAATAGCCTCATTGTTGCAGAGAAAGAGAAGACAGAATGTTTCTGCCACTAATGAAGTTATGGAGGTTATTTAAGGTCTAGAAAAATTTCAAAAGCTGGAGTAAGGGGGAGCCAAGAGGGAATAGTGAGGAAGGCCTAGAACTCAAGAGCTAAAATGAGTAAGAAATAACATATCCCACATCATAAGCAGAAAAGCCAAACTCACGAAGTCAAGGAAAGAAAACCCAAAGAACAAGAATCTGGCAGCACAAAGCAGAAGTATCTCAATTCAAGACTTCAACTGCTGGTCTCTGGAGTAGATACAGCCATAGCTCAATGCCATTAACCATTAAGATCCAACTCATTTTCCTTGCTTAGTTTTGTGCTCCCCAAAATATTTCTGATAATTTGTTTCCCCACATATATCCCAGCCCAAGAGATGAAATGACCAGAGAAATTACAAAACCAGATATTTGAAAATTACTGGTTTATAATGAGCACTAGAAGTTGGTGTGTGTTTAGATTTAAACATGTCTTCTGGGAGTCTGGGTATAATAAATCAGACCCTTTTGCACATGACTGACAAAACTGGAATTTCTAGCTCTGTAAAGCCAATAGGCTATGGTAACTTTATTGAGATACAGACATGCTAGATGACATTTCCATTTCATATCTAAAGCAATGATTTTCAACCACTCTAGGGTCACATCACAATGGAGGAGAACCCATTTTAAACAAATATCCACCACCCAACCCCTCCCAAGCCCCATTTAAGAATCACTACTGTGGGGACCTCCCTCGTGGTCCAGAGGTTAAGACTCCATGCTTCCACTGCAGGGGGCGTGGGTTCAATCCCTGGTCAAGGAACTAAGATCCCACATGCCGTGCACCACAGCCAAAAAAAAAAGAAACACTACTGTAGTGAGCTACGTTTACTGCTGGGTGTGTGTTGTATCCTTTCAACATTCTAAGGAGGAGTAAAAGGTTAAATGCATTGCTTTAGGCTGGGTTCTCCCAGAAGCAGACTCTAAGGAAAAAATGTGAATTTAACTGATGATTCCAGGATGCACTAGTAGGGAAGTGGGTATGTAAAATAAGAGGAGGTCTATGCAGGTGCATTCATACCACTGTGGGCAACTATGCTTTCTTCTACTGGCGGCCTCGGATGGTATGGGATAACTCCACTCGGGTAACTCAAATATTCAGCTGTCAGTTCTCTGGTGAGCAAGGAAGCTGGGATGCATCCTCTGATTCCTATTCACCATTAGCTGAAAGCTGCTCTCACGGGCATTAACTCCACAGCACTTCAAGCAGAGAGGGAGCCTTAGGAAGGTGATTGCAGTAGGACTCCTGATGGTGGCAAGTGCTGGAATGGTGAGTGCTCAGGCATTTGGGACAGGCACTGACACCTTCTATTACACACCGGATGGTTCCTTATTGGCTTCTCTTCCCTTTTGACTCTCAGCAGTTCACCTTGTTATGCTATCTTTCACAGTCCCTGACACAGATCTTCTCTTTGCTCCACCCAGAAGAAACAGTTTCTTTCTAATAACCCATTAGTTTTAAATGGAACTCTTTATTAGTT